CTGTCCCTAGGGATGATCAACATTTTTTAAACAGGAATATGAGTAGCATCACTGGATCTCCCGGTCCTGGACGCACAAAAAAGATTTTTGTGGGAGGTTTAGCATCTACAGTCACTGAGGGTGACTTTAAGAACTACTTTGATCAGTTTGGTACAATTACTGATGTTGTGGTGATGTATGATCATAACACGCAGAGGCCGAGAGGGTTTGGCTTCATCACTTATGATTCAGAGGAAGCGGTAGACAGAGTCCTGCATAAAACATTTCACGAACTCAATGGGAAATTGGTCGAGGTCAAGAGGGCAGTTCCTAAAGAACTATCTCCTGGCCCCAGCCGCAGCCCTGTGATTGGATATAATTATGGTTTCAGTAGGGCTGCCAATTTCCTCAATAGTTATACTCAGGGATATAATCTAAGCCCACTTGGAGGTTTTGGAGTCAGGATGGATGGTAGGTTTAATCCCCTTGCTAGTGGTCGAAGCGGATTTCCTGCATTTAGTACAACTGGCTATGGAATAGGTATGAATATGGAACCAGGAATGAGCCCAAGCTATGGTGGGAGTTCCAACTTTGGCAACAGTCTTGGATACGGGCAGATAATTAGCCCCTATTTTAGTAGGAATTCAAACAGATATAACACTCCTATTGGCTATGGTGTTGGAAGTGGAAGAAATATTCCATTTGAGCTCTGCTCTCGGAATGTCTGGGGGAAATGGAGGCCTTAGCAATGCCACAAATGCTTCCAGGCCTGGTGGTTACTTGGGGACTGGAATCGAGAGTTTTGGTTCTTTAGGAAATAGTGGGGCTAATTGGAACCCTTCTCCACCTGCTCAAAGTGGAGGAATGCTTCTGGCTACACCGGTGGGAGTGCTGGTTATGGGAGTGCTGATGACGACTATGGATTTGGGAGGGGAGGATATGGAAGAAACATTGGCCACTGTTGCTGCTCCAACATTATCATTTGCTGGGGCAACTGGTAAATTTGAGGGGTCCTATGGGGATCTGTACCATGGTGGCTCAGTTTATGGTGACTCAACTTGGCGGTCTGTGACTCCTGACTTGGATGGTTCTAGCTCGTTCAGATATAGGCTTGGCAATATATCCTCAGATGTTACTGCAAGAACCTCAGAGGATTATGTTGGAAGTTACAGTGTTGCAAGTAGATAGTCCAATAGAGGTAATATTCTCTTTAGTTTTATGAAGTGGACCTTTAGAAATAGGTTATGCATTTAGGTTACATTCGCTCAAGATTCACCAGGGCGGAAATAACTATATTCAACTTAAAGTTCAGTTGAACTTTCTCAACTCCAGATGAAAATTTCCTTGTGCTGGAACCTACTTGCAGTCATATTCTGTTGATGCTTGAATCCAATAGCTTTGGTGTCTATAATGTTAGGTACCATTACATAGACTTGTTTCTGGCAACTGATTAGCCGAGGGAGTCAAAAAGAATAAAGATAAGGTCATTAGTATAAGTCAGAATTAATTTGTTTTAAGTTCATGGAGTTTGGATTTTAAGATGGGGATCTTGTTTTTTAATTTGTTTTAGTTTCAAGGTGGAGATCATACTTGTTTGGCCTATTGGACATTTGTTTTTGGAATGGACTCCGAAGGTTATCTTTAATCATGTGTCATGTCTGATATCACCTCCTGTAAGAGGCAGCCTACTAAATTTACTTTTCTTGTGGTACCATGATAGAATCCATTGTTGTCAATTACTTTGTCCAACCTCCCTGCATTTATGCTTGCTTTTTAAACAGTTTGCATCAGTGAATATTTGGCAGAACTTTTTTGGGGCCTCTGCGAACTAGATATTGTCATAAATAACTCAGAAAAAGTCAGTAGGGAAATTTAACTTTAAAACTAAACTTAATTACTATCTTTCCTGCACTTGTTCTGGTACATGGACCGGAAATTCAATAATCTTAAATATTATTAATTTCGTAGGACTGAATCACTGAAAGACAACTTTTTACATCTTGATACTTGAGCTTGATTCTGACCATTTTATTTATGCTGATATGTTGAGGCTTAAAAGGTGAATGCCAGCTTGCTGCATTTATTAATTCATCTATTTGTTTGTTTCTTATTCAGGAATAGCTGCCTAGGTTGTTATTTGGATATCAGAAGTTATAATGTAGGGTGAATGAATATGCAAAAACAGGTGAATGATTTGATACAACTGCCTCATTACTACGTCAACTTACGAGGAAATTGATCTTATAGCACTAACGAGGGTTATTGATTTGATACACATTCAGAGTGAGTGATTTTCTGTAAGGTTTGAGATTTCAATTTCTTTTTTTCTATTTTATTTTTATAGTGAAAATTAGGTTCCTTTCTTGGCATTTGAGTGAGGTGTACAATCAGATTGCGGGATATATACTCCGGAAGATTGGTTCCAATTAATGTACCATGCATCTCCAGCAAGGAGTCCCGGTAGTGGTACATCAAACAATAGGGTATTAAGTTTTTTTCCCTTCTTCTTTTAAAATTTTTTCAGCTGCTGTAATGCCTGGCAGGCTTGGTGGTTCTTGTCCTTATATTTTCTTCATGTTATCTGGGATTGCTTTTATCTCAGATTGTAAGGAGTTTCTGTTCAATTTACTAGTGTGAAACTTTAGAGGGATATCCATATAAAATCCGAATCAAATAAGTTCCAACAGATTGTGATTCATTTTTTACTAGACACTACATCAAACAACTTTACTCACAGCATATGTAGTAACTGTTTGCATTTGCTGTTATATGAACAATCATCTCCATGCTATTAGATTATGACAGACTTGATTCCTATGGTTGTGATATACCGATATGATCGATATATAGACTGTTCTCTATGTCTGGAATGTTACAATGCTGCATTAATTGCCATTCTAGTTGTATTTTTCTGAAGTTTCCATCTGCTGATAAACTTTCAGTTATGTGTTCTCAATGGCTATTCTGTGGCCATACTGAGCTCTTATCCATACTTCCATAGAAAACAAAGATATGCTTTGCTGCTTGGGTTCTCAAATCACTTTCATTTGAATTTTGCTTTTATAGTGGCACCTAAATAGATATTACTATGTTTGTGGTCCTCTCTCTATCTTTGGTGTGAATTTTTTATGCCATTTTCCACTTAAAGTTGGCAGAAAATAATGCTATCAGCTTGCAAATTTTATCTGTGGGGTAAGGCCCAAGGCCATTTGGGTCCAGGATTTTGGGGCTGATAGAAGAGAACCTTTCTCATGATGAAAAAAAAGCACATTTTTCCCCATTGTTTTCCTTTCTCTGTCCATCTACTTTTGTTCATAAATGTTTGTCAAGAAAAAGGTCAGGTGGCCATGAATGACCAAAGATGGATGATGGATCTTGACTAATGACTTCACCATGCAAACTCATGCTGCCAAAAAGTTAGCAAAACATTACAAAATTTCTAGAATTGGATACTGCTGATAAAATAATTAACTCAAAAACTTAAATGTTCGATTATATAGGATAAAATCTCGCTTTTAAGATAGTTGAATTTAAAAATTCAGCATTTTATATAGGATAAAATCTCACTTTCAAGATCGTTTACTAACAGATCACGTGATTATTGACAAAATGATAATCAAAATGGTGGTAAGTTGTTTGTATCAATTATTCAACTTTACTATTCACCACATTTTCATAATTGATCAATTTTAGAGGTTGATATGAAATCTGCATGGGAATATTGGGAAGATGGTTCGGTTTTTCCACGAGTAATACAGATATTGGGATCCAAAACTCAGTAGAAATTTCTATGGCCCATGTTGGCCAATTGCACATCACTCGAGGCATCTTTAAGCTCTTCATTTCTTTTCCTCGTTCATTGAAAGCATAAGTGAATCTAATATTAATTTCAGTCATATATTTAAATTCTTGATCAAGTATGATTATTCTTAACTGAATTTCAAAAATAATATTTTGAAGATTGACAAAACTCTGATTTAAACCCAGAAGGAGCATGATTCACCTGACAAAGTGGGGTGTGTTTGGTCCTTGGATAAGACTATAATTAATCTTAAGAGACTTAGACCCCTCATTAAATAATTTCTAGAGAACGTCCAAACATGTCTTTACCAAAAAATTTCTAGAGAATGTCCAAACATATCTAAAAAGCAATTAAAGTTGTGAGCTGATGTTTTTCTTTGAAGTATGAATATGTTTCATTCTCCCCTTTGCATAGATACCAATCATCGTGTAAATGAAAGAATTTTTAGCTTATTTATTCATTTTGGATCCTTCAAATTATATATTTAGCATTGCTTTAATCATTGGTAGCTGTAATAAACAATAAGTGCTTGGAGGACAGTTGGGTTACTACATTGACATCCTTACCTGCTCCACTTGGAACCTTACAGCAACTCTCAGGCTTATCCAACAGCTCATAATTCCAACAATTCAAAGCCTCTGCCATGGTGTAACTTTGATTGAAAATATCAGGAGGCCACAATGTGTGCAGAACTTGATTCCTCCTAGGTACAGGAAACAAGCACTACTCGCAGTTCCAGCTGAAAGCATGTATCGTTATCAGCACACCTGGTATTCAGTGTCAGATTCAGGTAGATCAATTCTTAGAGCTCGGTTTGGTTTAGCTCGAGACCTCCTATCAGATGATGACTTCTGGGAAGTATTGCACCGAAGATATCATGACTTGTACAACCATGCTGTGGAGCTGCAAGCTCCACCAGAAACTAATCCAGATGAACCAGATAATTCTGTATCCAACAATGTTGAAAGTGATTTACTAGCCAAGCACGTTTTATGATGGAAATGTAAAGCGAACATGAATGTAAGTCCAGTGATAACTTGAATCTAATTATGCAAAAAAGGCAAAAGCAAAATTTTGGACGCTTTTTCCTTACTTTTTGCCTCAAATCACCATGTGAAAGTGGGACCAATTATCACAAGAATATGATCACATGCATAATTAGGATGTGGTTAGATGGAATGTGATTTGCAACTATGAAAAAGCTGAAATCAGTAGAAGGAAGACATGTTATACAAGGAAAGGTTCATATTTACTAACAGCAGTTGCAATGGAACAAAGCTAGTAACAGTACAAGTCATGATTTCCCACCTCATCCAAAGCAAAGGAAAACCCCACATTACATGATACATTATTACACCACTATCAGTATTAGTCTCCAGTCTCCACCCTAAAATCTAAAGTCACATGTGCGTCTTCCTTTGAACAGAGGATTAGAAGCTTAGAAAAAAGCCCTACTTCCATAGAACACCCGAGGGGTGTTTTTTGATGCCTGTATTTTCTGATCAGTAGTACTTGAATTATCTGGTTTGGTTGGTCCACTGTCAATGTCCAGAGGCAGTTTCATCTTAGCCAATGATTCAGTAAATTGCTGCATGCTTTTCATGTACATGTCCACAATCTCCTGTTGCACCACCTTCTGCTCAGGCTCAATATTGACAGAAACAACAGGTTTTGCAATGGAATCGCTTTGTGCCCCAGAGGAAGCACTATCACCATCTCCAATATCCACAGTTTTCTCTTTTGGGGATGAATTGTGTTCCTGATGAGAAGTTTTAAAAGCAGCTGGACCATCAGACGACTCGGAGCTTGCAGCAGCTGATGGAGATGAAACCCCATTAGTTGATAAACTGCTTGGAGGAGAATCAAGCTTGGGGACTTGGATGGAATTGACTGCAGCAGTTGAGAAGCTTTCCACTAAATGAACATCCATGTTCGAACTAAGTTGATTCTCAGCATCAGAAGTGACCAAACTTTCAGAGTCCAAATTAGAACACGAGATCCCAAAATACTCAGAAACCATCATCTGGTTCTCATTCACAATTTTTGGATCCGGAAACTCAATCTTTTCTAACTCGCACTCACTTGTCTCTGAATCCTTCAGAGTCTCATCGGCAACAATATCTGTGGGCATTGCAGGAATAGCCATTACTTCAGGAGAGGATCCAGCATATGCAAGAGATAATTGAACAAAACCAGCAGGTGAATGGAACAGATCAGTTGAAGAAAGAGAGAATTCTTTCTCTAATTTCCCATTCTTGAGAAGTACTTCAGACAGCGGCACCAATGCAAACCCCAGCAACTGGTCTTCAAGATAATTCCTTACTCTACTCATCATGAATATCTCGATTTTGAGAGAGGAATCAACATTTCGAACATTGATGCGAAGATTTTCATTGAACACTGGATTCCTCCCACCACCATTGATGATCTTGGTGGAGACTGTGCTTTCAGGATCACTGGTGAGGCAAAGCTTAGCATAGACATCCTGCTTGTGGTAAATGCAGATGTTCTGGATGTCTCTCGCCTGATGGACATAAACCTCAAGAACACCAATGGAATTCTCTTGGTTCGCCACAACAGCTTCCTTTCTGTTAACCTCAGATCCATTTGATGAGCCATCAGAGTTCCTAGAGAAAAAGTCTGATTTCTGCTTCTCAGGCTCAGCATCAACAGAGTTCTTGAATGGTGAGACAACTGATTGTGGGGAATCCATGATAACACCAAGAAAAATGAACCTGGCAAAGCAAAAGAAAGTACCTTGTTGAAATATCAAGTCACGCAAAAATCAAAAGTTAGGATAGTAAAATTTTCCCCAAACGAATTCCAAGAACAAAAAACTTCCAAATTTAGCCAAATAGAACTCAAGGCAGACAGAAACTATTCCAAATCATACACCACAATTCGTCGAGCAAAACCCTGGTACATGAAAAATTGAAATCGAAGCCAATATTTAACCCAAGCCACAAACCTAAACCCTTTCCTGAGCTTAAACAAGACTAAAGCTAAACCCTAAGACAGCCTACAATTAAGAAACAAAAATTCTTCAATATTAAAACCAAGAAACCAACAAGGCAACAACCCCTAAAGCTGAACCCTTTCACTGAACAACTTCAAAAGCAGACCCTGACTCAGTCTCAGAATAGCCAACAAAACCCAGAATTTAAAACCCAACCGTCAGCTTGGACTGAAACAAATCAGAGAATTCTCTTAATACCCAGAAACCAATAACCCATCAAAAGTTGAAAATTTTAAGTGAGATAGTTTCAAAACTCCTGATACTTCCAACTTAATATAGAGCAAAGACCCATTAACGGTTAAGCCCGGATTCCAATAAAGGAGCGAGCTTTCACGAAAACCGGAATCCAAGGAAGACTAAAAACAGGAAAAAAGCAAAAGAAACAAAATCCCAAAGAAAATTCCCAACTTTGCTCTTAACTTAAACAATTCAAAGCAAAAAAAAAAAAAAGAGAAGAAAATATGAATTATATTCACCTTGGGCACGGCTTTATGACCTCAAAGTCAAAAACAAAAAACAAAAAGAACAGATATTTTTGTTGGAATCTGTGGCTCTAATCCAAGATCCGGACACAACCAAGTTCCAAAATCGAGTTGGTTTTTGGGAGTTCCTAACAAGTGAACTGGTCGTACAAGGAAGACAGACAGTGTTACAATAAAAAAAGAAAAGGAAAAAGATGGACAAACAAAGAATAAAATATTATAACAACAAAAACATCAAGAAAATGAAAACTGAAGAGAAAAAAACAGAGGATTCTGAGGGGCGTGTGGATAAACTTGTCGAAGAGAAAGCGTAGTGAAGGCTGTTGGGTCAGTATGTCATGGATTTTTCTCTTTCCTTATCTACCTTTAATGATTACAAAGACATGGGAAAATTGATTACAACTTTATACTATTTCATGTTACTGTTATTACCTCAACTGTGTAGTGTCAGAGACAAGTCATGTGCTTCCACAATTTTAAAGTTTGTAATTATTATAGAATCGAATTTCTCAAAAGTTTTCCTTTGATCATAAAACTAAACTATAAATTCAACAAATCCCATTAAAATCCATCACATCAATAATATCAACACTTTGATATTATTATAAATGCTAATAACAAATTCTAAACAATTCAACATGAATTTTTTAAATTTGAAGTAAATAAATTTTTTAATTTTTTAAATTAAAATAAATATATCATATCTAATAACTTATAAAATCATATATTTAATATGATCTTAATTAAAAATCATTAATTAAATTAAAATTCAAAATTACTCATGTAAAAGAAATGATATTACCAATTAAATCAATTTTTGTTGATTAAAATTTTTTACCTAAAATGAAATCAAAATGAAATGTAAAAGGATTAATTGTTATATTATTTTAACAATCATAATTATATTTTTGAAAACGAAATATAAAAATAAATTAAAAAATCACATATAAATATGAAAACATAAGCCATTTGGCTTTTGGAGATATATTTGATCATATGAGTAAATTCTATTGAATTATCTAAAATATAGTAATAATTTATCAGTGATGGGCAAATGGATTTTTTTATTATTTTTCTTTGAAGAGGACGTGGGACGCCGGCCCATGCGGTGAGGATTGGCAGTGGGAGGCCAATGAGAAGGAAAATTTGTGGGGTATCTGAAGCGAGTGGGGGACATTTGGAGGGAAAGAGGGAAATCAGTCATGTTAGCTATCACTGTTTCAACTGTGTAGCCTGTCATTTCTGTCTCTGCCTGCCCTTTTTACTATTTGGCTTTCCCTTTTTTTTTTTTTACACTTTGCTTTTAACGGTTCAAACTTTGGAATTCTTCGTATTCACTTTTTTTCTTAGAGAGATAATAATTAGATTTTGATTGGATTTTATCTAATTTTTTGGATATTAGATAATGTTATAAATTTTTAAATTTTAATTTGATTTTATTTGAATTGAATTAAATTTTATTAGTTTAGTTTAATTTATTGATTTTTAAATTTTAAATTTTTATATATTATCTTGATATAAAATTTTAATATATTTAAATAGATTTTGAAATAAAATTATTATTTTTATTTTATAAAAATTTAAAATGTATAGAAAAACTAAAAAGTAATAATTCAATTTGATTTATTTTGTTTATTTTTCATCTTTTAATATAAATTTAATATTTAAATTTAATCTAAATCAAATAAAAAAATAAATTAAAACCAAATCAAACATTATTATTTTGAATCAATTTTTTATTTTTAAAATTTTTTTACCTCTAATTCTTTTTATTCGTTTCATATATTTAAGTGGTTGTTTTGAATTTAACAAAAAAAAAAAAACACATTGTCAATGACAGTTGATGTAAATTATTAAAATTTATTATCTGAATATAAAATATTTAGGTTAAAATTTTTACAAACTTTTATTAATAGATAATTTATAAATTTAAAATATCTGAAAAATTTATAAATCTTTTTATGATTTATTTGTCGATTTATTCTGATATAATAACTTTTCGAGTTTTTAAATTTATTTTGAAAAAAAAAAAATCAAAGCACATCAAAGAAGTAATTAAATACAAGTCCATAAAAGAAGGTAAAAATACTCGAAAATTGATGGGTTTCAACTCGACCCTACCTTTTAGGATTGATTTTTTTTTTTTTGAAAATCGGGTATCGGGTCGGATAGAGTCGAGTGGCATACAAAATTTTTTAATTATTTATTTAATTTTATATATTTATATATATTTATTTAATTTTATATTTATATTAAAATAATATTTTGTTAATTTCAGATCAGGTCGAATTCGATTTTATACAATATCGAATCGAGTTCAAGTATTAAAAATAAAAAAATTTATCGAATCAAATATAGATACAAATTTTATATGTTTAAAATCAAATCGAATTCAAAACGAATAAAAACTCACTCCACTTCGATCTGTTGTCATCACTATCCACAAAGGTTAAATTGATTGATAAATTAATAAAATCACCAAAATTAAATCGAATTCAAAACGAATAAAAACTCACTCCACTTCGATCTGTTGTCATCACTATCCACAAAGGTTAAATTGATTGATAAATTAATAAAATCACCAAAATTTTGAGGAATTTTCTGCAAATACAATAGAAATGTAAGTTGGAAATGAAAATTTGTGCTGGTAATGAGCCTAGTGATATTTATTTTTTTAATGCATATCTAGTAATTAATTTCTCGATTCATAATAGTTCACACACTCCCCCAAAAAATCTGATAATAATTGGTATTTGAATTTGGGCATAGAATATTCATCATTGCTAGTACTTGGCATAATTCCCTGTCTTTGATAGGAAATTACAAGAGTAGTGTTTCAGGTATCAGGAGCATGCTCTTCAGTCTCCCTCCCATGTGAATTTCAAAGCCCTGTAAAAACCACAGGCTGCAACATTCTTCAATGGCAATCTGAAACTATCCTGCTTTGCTGTTTGCAGTCAAAATATTGTGTTTTAGAGCGTTAGTGTCATGAATTGTCTTAAAATATAATAAAATATTTAATATAAAATTTAAATTTTAAAAATTTTTAATGTGATATTTAAATTATAAATTTATTTATTAATGTGATATTTATCTTTAAAATAATTAATTTTAAATAATTAAAAATTATAACGATTTGATTCGAATTAAATTCGATTATATTTTTTCAGATATTACGTAATATTATAAAATTTTAAATTTTAAATTAAATTTTTATTTATTCGAATTGAATTGAATCAAATTTTATTAATTCGGTTTGGTTTCATTTACTTTTTAATTTTTAATTTTTAATTTTATATATTATTTTAATATAAAATTTTAATTATTTAAATAGATTTTGATGTAAAATTATTATTTTTATTGTATAAAATTTTAAAATATATATAAAAATTAAAATATATATTTTGATTCGGTTCGATTTTTTTCTATTTTTCACGTTCTGATTAGAAATTCAATCAAACCTAATATATACATTCAATATTTGAACTTAATTCAAATAAAATAAAAAAATCAAATTAAATATTATAATTTTAAATCAATTTTTAAAATTTTTATTTTTTTCATCCCTATAAATAATAATACTTAACGAATAAATACTATTTAAATATCACTTCAATTAATATATTTATAATTTAAATATTATATTAAAATTATTTAAAAAATTTAAATATTATATTAAATATTTTATTATAATTTAAACCCTATTCATAACATTAATACTATTCTAATCAATAAATTTAAGTTTTTCAAATAAGCAATAATGCATGACATGCTCCTTACCAAGTCTTGTGTTGCATTAGTCAAACTAAAATACATATTGCAAAACCCAAATGGTAGAAATCAAAGGGAATTTTAACATGGTGGGGTCATTTTTTTTTTATTTAATTCAAATGACTTAAAGGGATAAATTATATTCAATGATCCTTGGCTATCCCTCTGAAAAAACTTCTAATAAAACATCCAAGGTAGACTTTTGAAGAAAATGGCCTACTAGACCCTTTAATCAAAAAATCCTTTTTCTTTTCATAAATGGTGACTTTTGGCCTCTAAAGGGTATCCCATGACAGCCATAGACATGGAGCTTTCTCTCTCCTTACTTGTTTCCTTTCCCTTTTTTTTTTTTTTTTTAAGGGCGATGATAGAGATAGATGAGACTAATTTGAGTTTAATTTGTGAGTTAAATGTTGAATTTCAAGAATTATATATGAATATTAGAACATCAAATTATATTATATATTTATTTAAATAATTATAATTAATAAGTAAAAGTAATATCAATTCCAAAAAAAATTTTGCTATTCTTTTATTGATGTATTTCAATGGATAAATATCGATATTTAAAAGTGAAGGAAATATTTTAACTAAATGTTATTAAAATTTTAAAAATTTATTAATTAAAAAGTTATCAGGTAAAAATAAATAAATAATCGTTAAACCATATTAATTCGATAAAAAATTATAAAATCTATACATAAGTTATCACAATTAATTATTTAAATTTTCATATTTATCTCATATTAAAATTAAATTTATTATCCTATTTTATTAAATTATAAAATTTCACTTACTAAAAAATTCTAATATAATTTCGGTGGATGAGTTCTTTTGCCAAAACCCAACATTTGGTTTGCTCTTTGATCTTTCTATTGTGTCAAAAAAAAAAAAAAATCAAAGGTGTCAATTTTTGAAGCTCCACTTGGGTGCCATCAAAGTAAAGATTAGTCATTGCTTGAAAGTGCTTGCTAATATTCTCACCAATTTGCATTTGTCACATTGAAAAACTGAACTAAACAAAAAGATCAACAGATAGCTCACATTTTCTTTACTGAAATGTCAGCAAATCTTGACTCTTCTTGAAATTGTGTTACAGATAACTTAATAAAACATGGTTTAGTTTGAAAATTACTACACCCTCATGCCCTTTTAAGTGCTGTCAGATGCTTTTCTAGTTGTTGCTTAATCTCATGTCTTTGACTTTTTGCAACATTGAGCCCTGTCAAAACCCAACCAATCCCACATTCTCCAATTAAACAAATTTTAAAATATTCTGATTGCCTTTGTCTTTATTTTATATGCTCTTGTCATTGACAATAAAATTTGGTACAGTGAAATGTTTAAATTTTGAATTTTTACATTAATTTTTTATTAAATTAAATTCGATTAAATTTGAATTCAAAGTTTTTAAAATGAGTTTGGTTTCGAGTTTGTTTTGTTATCTTTTAGATTTAAGTGCTCTTTAAACTTGTGCATTTTGAATGCAAATTTTTGTTCTTGTTGCTTAGCTGAAACATGTGGAAGATGACAAAGAGAATTAACTTGTACCTTACAACAAGGAAGAAAGAGGGAAGACCAGGAAAACAGACAAACAAAGAATCCAAAGCACCCCATCAATAAACTGAGGTAAGTCCCATAGAAACTTTTAATCAATTTGCAAACTATAACAAACTTGAATGTGAAATTTCATTGTCCATAAAACATTTCAATCTTTAACAATTCTGCAGTTTCTGATTACAGGTTCTGCAGTTTCACCAGCTTCTGCAGCTGGTGAAAGTGGAAGCTCAGCTTCTGGGCTATGTCAAAAGGCAGCAATGCAAGCAAATGACCTGACAAAAGAACTGTATAAAAGTTCAGTGCATTTATTAAATCCTTTGAAGAAAACTTTATATTCATTAAAATTGATGAGAAAAGTAACTGTTGGATATAATTGAAATTTGTAGTTTTCTATATAGAATTTAAAAAAAAAAAACTGAAGGGTTGAATCCTTCGTTCAAGCACAAGATGAACAGACCATTTGAGACATGAAACTTCTTGATGTCTTATTGTGTCAGTTTTATCATTGAATCAAGGCTTAATTTTATCTCCAAAAAGATGATATGAACAGGAAATCTTGCTATCTGTAACACTCCCCCAGAAAGGTAGTCAACAGGGTTTTTTTTTTTTTTTTTTGTCTTTCATGACATGGTCACCTGACCAGCTTCTTCTTGTTAAAAAATGCATTAGCCTTTCTGACAAGCTCTAGGGTGAGGGATGCATGGTGCCCATAAGCGACATGAACTCCATTAATGCTCTTCAAGGAACTAGGGTCCCATTCCCATACATGATTTACAATTAGTCTCAAATTGTTTAAAAGTAGCCATTAAAATCAAAGTTTTAGGGGATTGGAGAGTCCCAATTTCCAATCCAAGTTTAGTCAGATTCATAGGGCCCTGCCCTCCATAAATTCTCTTGAAGTATAATCCTCAGTTTACACTGGTTGTTGTGAAAACTTTAGTGGTGGCTAATGTTGATGGCTACTTTGAACGATTAGGATTGGAATCCTATGTTTCCTTGGAGCCTTTCAATGGGATTAAAACTCGTATATTTTTTCAATGTGTTATTGGGCTTTTGTTTTTGTCATGATAAGATGTTGATTCAAATGGGCTTTGTGATTCCAAGCACACTTGCAATGGGCCTGGCTAATGGATCATTGACCCACCTAATATTTACCTAGACCCAACACTTTCACTGCACAAATATAAATAACCTTTCTCAAGTTACTATCAAACCACTTAGAACTTTTCATAACTAATTTCAAGTTAGCTATCCTTCTTTTTTTTTTTTTTTTCGAACACTAATTTGAGTATTGAAACACAAATATTTTTAAAAAAAATTTTTTTTATAATTAACCGACCTCTTGCTTTGTAATTTCAAATTTTTACCATCGTCAAAACAGTTCGACACCAATAAATACCTTTTATATATACCAAACATTGTCATGTTATCTTTCTAACAATTTAATTCTCTATAATCATATTCCCAATTACCACATTTTATTGAAAATCATGACATGATAAAACACCAAACACAACCAAATTGACTTGAAGTGAGCCATAACTGTACCTTAATTTGTATGTAATTGTTTCACTCAAATTCATTTGTCTTTTTCTATAATATTTCAAGCTACAATCATGGATTTTTATAACCTTTTGCAAAAATAAAGTTTGCTGGTTTCAACCCTTTTTGGGAACAATGAATGAATGTCACCAAATTCTTTATTTTGGTCCCATAATCCTATGAATATATGTCCTTCAGAACATTTTATTGCATACAAACAAGACCATAAAGTGAAGAAGCAATGTGTCTCGACATAGATTTTCGTCGTTTTCAACTTTGGGTTATAAAAAGTTATCTTTGCTCATGAATGATAGTAAAAAAATTCTTGCCCTCAATTATTAAAGGTGGCTGTCATATCACTAAGTTTTTTAGCAGGTTTTTACATTGAATTTTATAGCTCGAGAAAAAGTAAAAAAAAAAAAAAAAAAAAACCTAATAGAAAGATAAGAGTTTGACAGATGGCAATGCAATCCGTTTCCATTTTGATTTTATCTGATTTTTTTAGGATTAATTTTTTTTAATCGGATCAAATTGAATAATAATAAAATAAAATTGAAGTCAAATTTTAAATAAATTCGTTTTAATTTGATCAGATTATATTATATAAAAAATTATTTTTAATTAATTATTTAATTTTTATATTTATTTAATTTTAAATTTATATTAAAAATAATATTTTATTAATTTCGATTGAATTAAATATAATTTTATATAATATGAGTTAAATTGAGTTTAAATATAAAAAAAATAAATTAAATTTAAATTTAAAATGAATAAAAATTCATTTCAATTTGACCCATTATCATTATAGAGCTATGTTAGAATTCAAGTAGAGCAATCTAAGTTAACCAATTTAGTAAAACTTTTGTTGTCACTTGTTTTATTATCTATATTTTCTCATATTTCTTTGTTTTAAATTTAACTGAAACGAATGATAATGGATTTTAAAAAAATAAAGTTTATAAGGTGAAATTTATAAATTTTTTTATAATTGATTAAATAAAAATTAAAATAAAAAATAATAGATTGAAAACTCCTAAACAAGTATGCAAGTTTTGAAAAAATTTCATAAATTTTGATTTCTTTTTACATATGCATTTTTAGTAAAAATTTTAATAAAATTTTTATTATTAAATAAATATTAATCAAATTTAATTATAAAATATATTTTTAATAATATTTTAGTATATTATTAATTTTTTATTAAACTCTACTAATCTATTAATTTAGATTTTTTATTAAAAATTTTATTAAATTATTTTAAAATTTCAAATAAATTGTACCTTGAACTTAAGTATGTAACATTTTGAGACATTGGGACTTGAATATTTGTGAAGTAAATTTTCAATCAATAAACTAAAAATAATTAAAAATAATAATAAAGAAAATTTATTCCTTTTTCATAAAAACTACATTAGAAATTTATGTGAACAAAGATTTTTTTTAAGAAAAAGTATGATATAACAACAATGATTGCCTTGACAAAATGGTTACTTTATGAAGTTTTAACCACCTCCCAAAATAAACTCAAAAAATAAAAAATAAAAAAGTATTATTAAAAGCTTAAAATAAAATTTAAATTAAAAAAAAAAAGTGACAAGGCAAGGCAATGACTGACACAACCCTCGGACAGAGATCCAATGTAAGAAGTCAAACTCTGTTTCTCTCTTCTGACAGACTTCTCAAACACACCAAACCCACTTCACTTCCAACAGTTTTAAAGTTTTAACTTTATTTCTGACAAAAAAAAAAAAGGAAACATTTTCAACTGAATTTACTAAGATACCTTTCCCTTTTTCTTTCAGACAAAAAAAAAATCAATGACCTTTTTTTTGTTCTTTTGGTTATGGTAATGGAGGAACAAATGTTAGCTTCTTCATCAGCTGCTGCTGCTGCTGCTGCCAATGCTCAGCAGGATCTATCAGGTTCGGCTGGTTCTGGTGGAGCAAGGTACAAGCTGGTGGCTCCGTCTAAGCTACCAATCTCAAGGTCGACTTGTATTACAATCCCACCTGGGCTTAGTCCTTCTTCTTTCTTGGAGTCCCCTGTTCTTCTTTCAGATGTTAAGGTTAGAGTTTTTTTTTTTTTTTTTGAGGTGGATCGGTTTTGGGTTACGTTTGTTTCCTGAGAAAATAGGGGAAAGTCGGCTACTTTTTGAAAATTCACTGGCAAAATTGAATTCTTTTCTTTTTTAAGGAAAAGCCCAAAATTTTTTTAACTGTTGCCAACAATGTGAGATTCAAAGATTTGATTGTTATTTTCTCAAAGTAGCATTTAGTGGGGAATTTTTCTTTTCCCTTTTCTTTTGGGTTTGGTTGGCTACGTTTTTCAATGATGTGATTTGGATTTATGCTCAAGGGGAAAACTAATTGGTTACCATATAAATTTTTTTTGTTTTTTCTTTAAAATCTTTTTGGGTTCTATTTAAAATGCTTGGTTTCATATTTGAGGTGGTTCATGATGTTAGGAACCTTAAAGAGAAAAGATTCTGATGCTTTGTTATTGCAATTATAAGATAAATGACTGTGGAAGGAGGAATAAGGCTTTTTTAATTTTTATCTTGATTGAACCATTTTTTATAAATTTAATTTATTTTTCAATGCCAATGTTGTATTTTTCACATAATGAATCTTCACCTTTTGATTGTGGGAATTGTGTCGTTATATTATTTTGGTGTTTGTCCTTGTTTTAACGATGAGGACTTAGTAGAGAACTTTGCCATTTGTGTAATGTACAATATGGAATAGATGCCAATGGTGAGGTGGAGTGGATCTATGGACGGATTGATGCTTCTTTTTAAAGGCATTTGTTTGATTTAGATCAAAGGATGGATGTTTGTTTAATGTGTGGTGCTAGGAGGCAATGAAGAGACATGATTGCCTGTAATTTAATGGAGGATATGACATCACAAAGAGTTAAATTTGTGAAAGGGATATGGCTAGTGAAGCTTAAGTAATTGAGTAGGAGGTTTTACAGACTTGTTTTCCACATCGAGCGTAGGGTTAACTGGAAGTACATGAATATTTATTGAATGGATTTTGCTTTTACTCGTCTTTAGCTGGTTTGTCCTGGAATCTTTTCTTTTCCCTTCTTTGTTTAAGTTTCTTTGGCACTAAATAAACCTGATAGAATTAGTTTGTTTAATCTTAGATCACTTGCTGAATTTGAACTCTATGTACTTATTCATGCTGATGAGAATAATAGCTGGAAGTTTACCGGTTGTTGCTTGTTGGTGAACGGAAGCAAAGCAGATTTATAGAACTATACTGAGTAATTTGTTGTTTTGCTTCTTATGCTCCCAGGCAGAGCCTTCACCAACTACTGGTTCTCTCATTAAGCCTCAAGCAGTGCATGCCTCTGGTGCTTCTTCTACATATTCGGCAACTGCTGTGTGTTCTAATGCTTTTGATGAAAGAAATCCTAGCTGCTTTGAGTTTAGACCGCATCCTAGATCAAATATGGTAATTTCCTGATAAATCTTAATGAATATTTTGAGATTGAAATTTAAAAAATATTTCCCTTTTTGTTTCTTTTGCCCCCTGGAGCCATTGTTGTTTTTAAATTTCACTATAGCCTTACGTATATTAAAATCAGGTGGTAGCAGCCTGTTATCTCTTCTCTTGAAAATTTTCAATACTGACATCCTTATCTAAGTTCATTATATTCTGCTAGTTGAATGCTATAGTTGTCTAAAGGTTTTTGGTTATTCAAGGCTCCTGCAGATTTAAACCATCAGAGAAGTGAACAATCTCTACCCGTCCAAGGTCAATACCCGACTATATCATTCAATTCATCAGCTTCAGTTAAGAGTGAGATGGCAGGCTCCTCAAGTGAGTTGAGTCTTTCAGTACCTGTTCATACAGCTACTTCTGTGGCTGGTGCTCCTGCTGAAGTTGACATAGACGAATTAAACCAGATAGGGAACCCAAATAGTGGGCTGCAGTCAGGGCAGTCTGATCATAGAGGAGGTGGTCCATCCGTGTCATCTGATGATGGATACAACTGGAGAAAGTATGGACAGAAACATGTTAAAGGAAGTGAATTTCCACGCAGTTATTACAAATGTACACATCCTAATTGTGAAGTGAAAAAGCTATTTGAGCGATCTCATGATGGTCAGATTACGGAGATAATATATAAAGGTACACATGATCATCCTAAACCTCAACCTAGCCGCCGGCATTCTTCTGGTAATATCATGTCTGGCCAAGAAGACAGTTCTGATAAGGTCTCATCTTTGAATGGTAGAGACGGTAAGGGAAAAAACTATACGTTCAATTTAATCTGTTGAGTACTTTTTACTTATGAAATAATCTCTTTTCTCCCCACTTTAGACAAGTCATCCAGCATGTATGGCCAGACAGCTCATATTATTGAGCCAAATAGTACTGCAGATCTATTGCCTGTCACAGCAAATGATGATAATGTAGATGAGGTTGATGATGATGATCCATTCTCAAAGCGAAGGTACTGATTGTTCAATAGAGGGTTTAACTTTTTCCTCTGGTTTTGTCTGCTTTGCTAAGTGAAACTACCAAACTATGAGCAGGAAGATGGATGGTGGAGTTGATATCACTCCTGTGGTGAAGCCAATCCGAGAACCGCGTGTTGTTGTTCAGACTCTGAGTGAAGTTGATATACTGGATGATGGGTATCGATGGCGCAAATATGGGCAAAAAGTAGTGAGAGGAAATCCTAATCCTAGGTACATATCGTTAAATCAATGATGATGGAATGTCACACATAACGTGTCATATCTTTTAGTTAGCTCATCAGTTTTAACATATAGCTCCATAAACACTATATTGCTCGGCATATAACTCATCTGAATGTTTGTAGGATCTTCATATTTGTATTTTGTTGTTTTGCTTATAGATTCATTGCATGCAGACTTTATAATGTTTTATTTCCTTTTTATGTAGGAGTTACTATAAGTGCACAAATGCTGGTTGCCCTGTTAGAAAACACGTTGAGAGGGCATCTCATGATCCAAAAGCTGTTATAACCACGTATGAGGGAAAACACAATCATGATGTACCTACTGCTAGAAGCAGTAGTCATGATAAAGCAGGACCAGTAGCTGTGAATGGTTCATCGAGGATTAGATCAGAAGAAAATGGTGCCATTAGCCTTGATCTTGGTGTTGGGATTTGTTCTGCTCCTGAAAGTAGTTCGAACAAGCATCGACAATTCCATTCTGAACTGGGCCAAAGCCACCCACTGACTGGTGGTTCTAGTTTCAAGTTGAATCAAGCGAGTCCAATGACAGCATATTATGGTGTTCTAAATGGTGGCATGAATCTATACGGATTTAGGGAAAATCCAAATGAAGGTCGTGGTGTTGAAATTACACACCTTAATTATTCTCATGCATTTCCACAGAGCATTGGAAGAATACTAACGGGTCCATAAATCTGTAAACAATGAAGGTTACAAGAAATAAACATGTACGACAGGATTTCTTTTTTCCTTCTTTTTGGCTGGTAAAAGAAAAGGTTAGAATTGTATTCTGAAAATATGGATTGTTCTACATATATATACGTATATTATATTAGTTTACTGTCTGAGCTACATATATATATATATATAAAACTGTTACACAAGGTCTACCTTTGTCAGATGGCTGCACACGATGGAAACCATATTTCTTACAAATTCCATTTCAAGAACTTGTAGAACATACATACATGCATATATCTATCTATATATATATATATCTTAGCCAAACTGTTAAGATAGAACAGGTTAAATATTATGAATTATAAGTGGAAAAAGAATGGCAAGATGGGCCCTTTGTAGTACAAATTTGGTAAATGATTCCAAATTTATGTTGGGAATAATTTTAAGATAAGGCATGAGAAAAGGAACCAAAGATTACTTCCTTATTGCTGTACAGCAGTCACCAATCATCTATGTGGGCCATGGTCCATTTGTTAAGAGAAATATTTGTCCTATGTCATGGGATTTTGTACCTTTTTAACATGCAATCTAACCCTGCCACTTTTAATCAGAGCTCAACAGTGGTGATCCATCAAGAAACATCATTGAGTTGATCTTTCAAAGCCGCCATGGAAAGATCAGAAGGGTACTAAGAGTGAAGAACTTGATAGAAGTTCTCGAGAGGTTTGAGGATTACAGAGAAAGGGTTATGAAGAACGCCTATGAGAAACATAAAAGGCATCCAAAAAGCATGGTAGATGGAAATGAGCTGTTCCTATTCTATGGCCCTACAATGGCCTGCTGCAGCAGAAAGCTGAAGCAAGTGTCTGAGCATTGTAAAGATCCTAGTTGTAGAATATTTAATTATACAAAATTCTTGCGCTATACTTCACTGCTTTGTCACAGTTTTCAACTAAAATGTGAACATTTTCAGCTACCAAGTCTTTTACTTCCATAAAAAGCATATTACTAACTAAAAATGAAAAACATGTATGTTTTGCTGACATAAGTCCACCAATGTAAACATTACAGAGTGAAAACGCGTATGCAAGACAAGCTGCCATAACAACAGTTGATCATTAACATTCCGTTGTACAAAGCCTTGTTCGTTGCATTCCTGAGATATTTTGTTTGTACCAAAATGGAAAAAAGAAAACAAAATAAGTGTTTCCAATAAAGGTTCTGTCGTGGTCAACAGCCATGTGGTTTATTGGTAGTGTCCGACTCTTAGTTCTAGCAACTAGGGTTCATATCCTGATGGCCTCAATTCCAAAAAAAATTCTATCATCACCATTATAATAATTATTGTTTGGTTAGCATCTCCATGCACATGAAGCAATTATAGCTCGATTCATCCAGCCGAGATAAAGAGCTCCATCTCTCTCTTCAAGTGTATGCTTGTCACAATAGCTTTGCAGCAGAGTTTTGATGGTAGCATTGACAAATGAGCTTAACGGACAGGGCGTAAAGCCAGCCATAATAAACCTTGATCTCCACTTGCCCAAAAGTTCATGACGTTCGACTCTCTCATGCCCTTCACATGCTATAATGTTGACAATCTCCCGGGCCAGACAGTGCTGTTCAACATTGATCCGCTCCTTGTGTTCCCTTGGAAGACTAACATCAATTGATTCAAAGATAGCCAAATAGTGATTCATTGTCTCTAGGAAACGGGGAAAGAATGGAGCAGTATTTGTATTGGCTTCTTGCTCAACAAGCGTCACCACCTTTGGAGACAAATTCTTCACCAACCTCAACAGCCTGTCCCGATGATTCTGAGTGCCCACACTTTCATCTGGCATGTGATGCAGCACCATGGCAAAATTTACAGCAATGGCTTCATCAGGTTGAATTCCAAGGTTTTCAAGTTGAACCTCAGTGCCAGAAATAGCAGCAGCATGGAACTCAAAGGGTACTTTACACAACTCTGCAACTTTGCGTAGTCTCTGTCCCACTATTTTAAGTCCCCCTCCTCTGGCAAAAGCTGATGTACGATCATCAATGCCTGTAATACGTATGCTTGGAGGTCCACCTTGCCGAGCAGCAAGAGCGTGGATTAGGGTCAACCATTGGCTTCCTTGTGCAATCTGAAAATCAATTATATGGACTCTGCTTTCATCTTTCATTGCTTCAGCAATTGCCCCATTTGCGGACATATACCCGAACTTGAAATATGGGCAGATTTCATAGAGTATTTGCATGTATGAGAGCATTTCTGCACTAGCAGGTTCTTTGCATCGTAGCGCTTTGTAGATAGAACTTCCTGAAGAGGCCAACCTTGCAACAAGCCCTTCCAACATGTAGGCTCCTAAACGTTGCATTGGTTCACCTGAAACTGACACCATTTGACGTAATTGTCTCATCAAGCAGTCAGTCGTATACATATCATTATTGTCTATAGCTTTGGCACAAGCACAAAGCAGTTCTTTCATGTCCCCTCTGACGATCATCTCCATCATGTATTTCAACCTCTCAGCTTCTACGGAGACTTCAGTGGCTCTGCCGGAAGCGGTGATAGCATGGATGTCAAAATTATCTGAATCGGTTCCTAGCATATCAGTTTCCAGTTGTCTTATCATGTGCTTCAAGTCATGCTCATTGTCTGTTACACAAGAACCGCTTACAGGTGAGCCACATGTATTATCTGGGGAATGACGCAGGTCTGACGGGTAAGAGTAGTTTGGCTGTGAAACAGGACTGCCATCAGATGAGAAACTGGCTGTAGAAGAAGAATTCTGCATACCGGATGATGATTCAAGAGTGCAATATTGTTCCATCATCAGAGCATGACTGGTATGGATCTAAGCTCTGGTTGGGAGGCCAACAATAGGACTTCAGCTCTTGCACCGGCTGGTCAAAATACTTGCCTGTAATTTTATGTTTCTGAGATGTTTGCATTGGACAAATTTCTTTGATTTAATGCTACCAATTGACAGACAACAACAGAGAGAATCACAGGAAAACATAAAAAGAAGCCTTTTAATTTAACTGACAGCGTTGTGGTAATGAATAAGTTACATCACCCTGCCATTTTCCAGAACTGCTGCTGGGAATGAATAACACATCAATGAGACAATGTATTCTGCATAGAAGGTTGACAAAAGTATTAGGTGCATTTTATGATGGAAAAAGCAGATGCTTATGATTTATCCAAATAAGTAACCCCATCTTCCATTTATATCAGCACAACTGTAGATCGGCACCAGGATGTCATGGAAAAATCTCACAGCCATACCTTTATAGTTTCTATTCCAACCCACCCCTACTTTCCTCTCTTTTCATCTCACATACCTTTTTCACCCCTCCTTTACGCGTCCTATGATGCAAAAAGAAGGCAAATAGGAAGTAGATCGGATCTTTCTAAAAGAATCTGACTAATGGTGATGACAATCATCGATTACATAAAAACAAAACCCGAAAGACCGTACATGTGCCGGCCGACAATCTAGCGTGTGTGCTATGCATAAGATGGACAACAATAAAAGTTTCCTGTCCCAGAGTAAATATAGATCATACTTGAAAAGCTAAACAAGGTGAACAAAGAGATTGCTTTAATGCCAAAGGCACTTACACTTTCACAGCCAACAAATAGCACAGTCAGTGCACAAGATTTTATGATTGAAAAGGTAGGTAGCTAGATGCTAGGCAAGGATAGTGCCCTGATATATAAAAATCTTCCACCAACATAGTAAAAGCTCAAGATGGTATATAGCTAGAATCCACCAAAATAGAAAACAAAGTAGTCCAAAGACCAAATGTTAACAAGCAATTAGCCTCAAAAAGCTTTATATTGCAACTTTAAAGAAAAAGGCAGAAATGACAGAAATCATCATAGATTCATGCAACCAAGCTTTTTTTTTTTTTTGGTATCACTCTACCAACAGATCACGCGACCACGCTGTTGCTCGCAAGCTTTTACAATAAAAACAAAGTAAAAATTATGAAGAATCTGTTTTCAATCAGTTCTATGCTAACACAGGGATGCAAAACTTGTTGCCCTTTAAAATAGGGGATCAAAACAATGGAAAAAAAAAAACCCTTCTTTCTGGAATTAATAACAGAAAATTTTGCTGCAATAAGAGACAAACAAGCAAACATTCATCATACAGGATCAAGCTATAGATTTTTTTTACATTTTTCAGGGAAAGAAAGAGAGGGGAGATTTCAAACAGACAATATTCAGTAAAGCCATGATCAAATCTTTTATAAAACAAATAAAAAGCAAGGCTGAAAGAAGAAAAGTCAATTACTTTCAAATCATTTCTAATATGCAAGAGAATAAAGATTATTACTTTTTAAAAAAATATCAACAAATGTTCACAAACTTTGTATTAGCTCAGAGAAAGGAAAAAAAAAAAGCAGAAGCTTGGCATTAAAATTCAGCAGAAAAGCTACTTCTTTATCACTGATCGGCAAAACAAACTCATTTCTGACCTGTAATACATAATTTTCATCATACAGAAGAAGCAAAAAAAACCCAGAACAAAGCAACAAACTATAAAGCAAACTTGAAAAAAAATCCAAAAAAGCTTCAACAAATCAAAGAATATAACAAAGAACCTTGTCAATTTCAATACAAAATACAATTAAGATTTTTGCCATACCTTCTTGGATTTCCCTTCCAACCTCAGATTTTTGGTGCTCAGTTTGGCTTTCAAAGAACAAAGAAGTAAGGGGAATCTAAAACTAAAACTGCCAAGTGCTTGGGTCCCCAAGGTGTATCAATCTTCACTTTATAAGAAAGTTTCATCAACAAATGGCATTCTTCATTATGAAAATCACAGAACTGCCATTGACAAAATTACAGAAGTTAATGTGATAATCCCTTACCTAAGACATTAACCAAAATTTATGTCATCCAACCATCTTCAGATACAATCTTGTCTGTTTTTTTCCTGGGCTTTGCCTCCCATTTTTAACTATTTAAAAAGACCAAAAGGCCCTCCCTCAACCAACAGAATCTGCTCTCTGAACCTTATCTCTTTCTGATTAGGTGAGTTAATGAACATTTGATTAAGCAAAAACTTGAAAATTTTATTCTGATTTTCAAATTACAATCAAATGATGTACCCCCATGCCATAATTGAAAATGTCAAAGTCTTCTTGTAATTTTCTTTTGAGGTTATGA